TCCCATAAGGACATTTAATTAAAGGGACCTAATCTAGTATACATAGCACATTTCAATTGAGATCTGAAAGATAAATATTGGCTAGCAAGGTGATGTGTGTGTGTGTGTGTGCATGTGTGTGTGTGTGTGCGTGTGTGTGTTTGTGCATGTGTGTGTATGTGTTATTCCTGACAAAGGAGTATTTACAAGAAAACCACTTGTGAAAATTCCCTGGGGTGAGAAGGAACAGAAAGGAAGCCAGTATGACTAAATTTTGTATGTAAGTCACTGTTGTTAGGGACAGTGGTAGATTCAAAGAGACAAAGTGAATCTAAATTATAAACATGTTTATTTACTGAGACATTGATATATTTGATCTAATAAAACATTAATACACAGTGTAGGAATCTCTGTCATTAAACAATTTTAAAAATATTCTTTTAGAGTAGTTTTATTAATATGTTCACAGCAAAATTGGGAGAAAGTTATAGCGATTTCTCATATACCCCCAGCCCCAACACATTCATGCACTCTAATGCCAACGTTCTCCACCAGAGTGGCACATTTTGTATAATTGATGAACATCGTAATCGCACAAAGTATATAGTTTACATTAGGGTTCACTCTTGGTGGTGGACATTCTGTGGGTTCAGACAAATATATCATGACATGTATTCATCATTATAGTACCGCATGGAGTAGTTCCACTACCCTAAAAATCTATGCTCTGCCTATTCAACTCCCTCCCACCTCTTACCTCCTTCCTCTAGCTTTCTCTTCTCCTGGCCAAATCCTAGCAACCACTGATCCATTGCTGCCTTCATTGTTTTTCATTTCCAGAATGTTATACAGCCGAAATCATACTGTATGTTGCCTTTTTAGATTGGATTTTTTTCAGTTGCTGATAATACATTTAACATTCTTGTATGTATTTTCATGGCTTGATGGCTCGTTTCTTTTTACCACTAATTAATATTCCATTGTCCGAATGTAACATAGTTTATCCACTCATCTGCTGAAAGACATCTGGGTTACTTTCACATTTGGGCAATTAAGAATAAAGCTGCTCTAAGCAGCTGTGTACAAGTTTTTGTGTTAACATGTTTTCAGCTCTTGTGGCTAACTACCAAGGAGCACAATAACTGGGTCATATGGTGCGAGTATGTTTAGTTTTTGTACGAAACTTCCAAACTATATTTCAAAGTGGTTGAACACTTTATTGTCTTCCAAGGTAGCAGTGAATGCAAGTTGCTGTTGCTCTACATCCTTGCCATCATTACATGTTGTCAGTGTTGCAGATTTTCCAAATTCTAATGATGTGTAGTCATATATGATTGTTTTAATTTGCATTTCCCTGGTGATATATGAGGTGAAGCATATTTTCATATGTGGTCATATGCTTATTTGCCATCTGTTTATCTTCTTTGGTGAGGTGTCTATTCAGGTCTTTGGTCCATTTTGATATTTCATTATTTGTTTTTTATTGTTGAGTTTTAAGAGTGCGTTGTACATTTTGAATGATAGCCCTTTTTAAAATGCATTCTTTGCATTTATATTCATGAGAGATATTGGTCTTTAGTTTTCGTTTCTTGCAATGTCTTTGGTTGGGGCATTGGGTAATACTGGCTTCACAGAATGAGTTAGAACTTAGTCCCTCTTCTGTTTTTTGAAAGAAATTATGGAGAACTGGTATACTTTCTTCCTTAAAAGTTTGGTAGAATTTACTAGCAAACACATCTGGACTTGGTGCTGTTTTTGAAATTATCTATTTAATAGCTATAGGCCTATTTCAATAGTTTATTCTTGAGTGAATTTTGGCACTTCACTCTCTCCTTGCTTGCATGGTTTCTGAGAAGACAGATGCAATTCTTACCATTGTTTCTCTATTGGTAAGATGTTTTTCTTCTGTCTTCTTTCAGGACTTTTTGACTTTTGCTTTTCTGAGGTTTACAAATAGTACGCCTAGGTATGGGGGATTCTTTTGGCATTTATTTTTCTTGGTGTGCTCCAAGCTTCCTCAATCTCTGGTTTGGTATCTTAAGTTAATTTGGGGGGAATCCTCAAGCATTATTATTTCCAATATTTTTTTCCGTTCCTCTCTTTGTTCCCTTCTTATATTCTATTATGTGTATGTTATACCTTTTGTAGTCGCTCCACAACCCTTGAATATTCTGTTATTTTCAGTCTTTTTTCTATTTGCTTTTTAGCTCTGGAAGTTTCTATTAGTGTATTCTCAAATTCAGAGATTGTTTCCTCAGTCATGTTCATTCTATTAATATGCTTATCAAAGGGATTTTTATGTTCCTGTGACACTGCTTTTAATCTCTAGTCTTTAAAAATATTCTTTCTTAGGATTGATAGCTTTCTGCTCACATTGCTCATCTGTTCTTACGTACTACTGTATCCATTAGAGCATTTGGCATATTAGTTATAGTTTTAAACTCCCAGTCTGATAATTCCAAGATCCCTGCCATGTCTGGTTCTGTGTCTGTTCAATTCCAACATCCCTGCCATGTCATGGTTGCTGTGTCTGTTCAATTTGTGTTTTGCTTTCTGGTATGTCATGTAATGTTTTCTTGATAGCCAGACATGATGTAGCAGGTAAAATGAACTGCCATATGTAAGCCTTTGGTAATGTGGTAGTAACATGTGGTGTGAGAAGAAGAGTACCGTAGTCCCACAATTAGGTCTTGGTCTTTTAGAGAGCCCACGCCTCTGGGCTGTAAACTTCACAAGTGTTTCTCAGTTTTTTCCTCCCTGCTTTGGAGGGACAAGATGCCCAGAGTAGGCTGGAGTTGGGCATTTCCCTTTTTCCCCTTATTCCACGTTAGTTAGGCTCCGATAACGCCCCAGTAGGTAGGCTCTGATTAACTAGTTTCTCCTGAAAACAAGCCCTGTTTCAAAAAAGCAACGTACTCTCATGTATTTTTAAATGATTCCTCTTCCTCTCCCTTTCCCTCTGACAGAGCACAAAGGGATTTTCTCTGATATTTTCTGTGAGCATCTTGTGGAGATCCTGGAGGATAATCTCACCAAAGTGTAGGAATCTCCCTATGGCTGGGTCCCCATGGAGTTTTTAACTCTCAGACTTATTCACACGAACCGTTCAGCATTTGTCAACTTACAACATGGATTTTCCCGGCATTGCATTGAATCTTGTGACTGTTTCCACTCCTATCTGCTCCAGTAAGCTATGACTCCCTGTGTTCATCTATCTGTCTCTCCAGTCTTGGGGACAGTGGTTGTCCTGTGTCCTCACCTCTCCCACAGATTTAAGAGTTATTAATTTTCAGTCTGTTGGGCTTTTTACTGTTAGGAAAGAAAGGTGACTTTCAAGCTCCTTACACGTGGAACCAGAAACTCGAACTGTCCACTATTGGTTTTTTGGTGTTAGAAGTGTTGGACAAGCTCAGTGACTCTAGGTGTCTGAATTTTGTTACTTCTTTATTTCTAAAAGAATTACACAAGACACTGTTCACACTGTAATTGCCAAGAGTTTAGGACTCAAATCCCAACTGAAAAAAAGCCGGATAATGCTTGAGTCTCAAAAAAATTGATTTTTACCTGGATATATACATCTAAAATTGTAGGACTTATTTTGTTCATATTTTGTTTATAAATTTGCACCTACAATTAAGAGGATTATTGATTAGTATTTTTCTTACAGTATGCTTGTTATGGTATGAAATCAAAGTTATCCTTGTCTCATGAATCAGCCAGGAGGTGTTTTCCCTTTTCACATTATGTAATTACCTAAGAGTTGTATGAGATTGGTGCTTTTTTCCCCTTAAAAGTTTGAAGGAATTTACTAGCAAATAAATTTTCTGGGGCTGGAGTTTTCTTTATGGGAAGAAATCTAATCAATTTCTTTGATATAAAACTATTATGATTTTAATTTATTCTGTTAATTTCTGTCACTATGTTTATCTTGTAACTTGTTCATTTCATCAAAATACCTTTTAAAATGTCATTAGGATTTTAAAGTTGTTCACCTTTTCATTTTTGAAATTGATATTTGTACCACCTATCTTTTCACATGATCAGTTTTAGTAAGGATTAATTTTGTTTTTTAAATCAACTTTTAGCTTTATTTTTTTTGTTGTATATTTTGTTTCCATTACATTAATTTTTGTACTTTTTTAATCACTTGCTACTTTACTTTGTGTTTAATTTGCTGCTTCATTTCTAACTTTTTGACATAAATGTTTAGATTAACAATTTCCATTGATTCTTTTTTTCCTTATATGTATTTCAAAAATGACTGCGTTTTCATTTGTATTTAAAAATATTTTATAATTTTTAATTTTTATATCTTATTTAATCATGAGGCTAGTGATGTTATTGCATTATATCCAAACATTTTAGGATTTAGAAATAATCTAAATATTGATGTCTAGCTTGATTTCACTGTAATAAACAATAAGACTATGATTTTAATCTTTTTAAAATTATGGAGATCTAGTTGTTATCCAATGTGGTCAATTTTGAAAAATACTCATTTCCAGTTGAATACAATGAGTTCTGTGGTTCTTAGGTTCAACATTCTATATGTTAATTTTACCAAGTTTGTTCATCGTGATGCTTAAATACACTATACTGCTGACTTTGCTTTTTTGTTGTTGTTGGCTTGTTTTATCAGTTACTAAGGGGGTATATTAAAATTTATGATTGTTTTTCTTTTAAATTTGTGTTTGCAGTTACTTTATTTTAACCTTATAAAGTTAGAGCCTGTATTATTAGTTGTGTATATATCAAGAATTTGTGCCCTTGGTGATTGGCACTTTTATTATTGTTGAGTATCCTACTTTATATATTGCTGCGTCTTGCCTTTTACTTTCAGCTTTATGAGTTTTCTTATTTTTTGCTTTTGCCGTAAGTAGCATGTGGCATTTTAAAATCTAGAATTATTTTAGTTTTAAAAAATTGAATCTGACATTCTTGGTCTTATAACTTAATTTCAATTTAATATAATTCAGTTAATGTCATATTTGGAAGTAAATATATGATCTTATGCTTTGTTCTCTATTGTATTTGTTTACATGTTTTCCTCTTCTTTCTTACATGTTTGGGGATATATTAAATGTCTTTATTATTCCATTTTCCTTTTCTATTAGCTTCTTAGTTATAGATTTTTATTAATGATTAAAATTGCAATTTACATTCTACTTTAACATCTAATACAAATAAATACTTTTGGCAATTTGTGAACAATGAATGCAGCTTGGAATACTTTAATTCCATTTATAAACCTTATCTTTTGTAATTTTTTTGTACAGTTCTGTATATATTTTTAAGCCACACATGGTATTATTACTAATACAATTAGTATTATGTTAGATTTACTGCAGCATTCATTATATTTATTTTTTCTTATGTTCTTTATTCCTTTATGCCTATATTTTTTCTCTGGAATTATTTCTCTGCTGTGCAAGAAATTATCTTTATTTTTTGTGCAGGTTTGTTTGTTTGTTTGTTTTGAGACAGAGTCTTGCTCTGTCACCAGGCTGGAGTGTAGTGGCAATCTCGGCTCATTACAGCCTCCACATCCCAGGGACTCTCCTGCTTCAGCCTCCCAAGTAGCTGAGACTACAGGTGCATGCCACGACATCCAGCTAATTTTTGTGTTTTTTTCTTTTTTGTGTGTGATTTTTATTTATTTATTTATATTTATATTTTTTATTGCATTTTAGGTTTTGGGGTACATATGAAGAATACACAAGATTGTTGAATAGGTACACACGTGGCAGTGTGATTTGCTGCCTTCCTCCCCTTCATCTATATCTGGCATTTCTCCCCATGCTATCTCTCCCCAACTCCCCACCCCCCCACTGTCCCTCCCCCATTTCCCCCCAACAGACCCCAGTGTGTAGTGCTCCCCTCCCTGTGTTCTGATTGTTCAACATCCGCCTATGAGCGAGAACATGTGGTATTTGATTTTCTGCTCTTGTGTCAGTTTGCTAAGAATGATGGTTTCCAGGTTCATCCATGTCCCTACAAAGGACACCAACCCATCATTTTTGATGGCTGCATAATATTCCATGGTATATATGTGCCACATTTTCCCTGTCCAGTCTATCATTGATGGGCATTTGGGTTGGTTCCAGGTCTTTGCTATTGTAAACAGTGCTGCAATGAACATTTGTGTGCATGTGTCCTTACAGTAGAATGATTTATAATCCTTTGGATATATACCCAGCAATAGGATTGCTGGGTCAAATGGAATTTCTATTTCTAGGTCCTTGAGGAATCCCCACACTGTCTTCCACAATGGTTGAACTAATTTACACTCCCACCAACAGCATAAAAGTGTTCCTATTTCTCCACATACTCTCCAGCATCTGTCTCTAGGTTTTTCAATGATCGCCATTCTAACTGGTGTGAGATGGTATCTCAATGTAGTTTTGATTTGCATTTCTCTAATGACCAGTGATGATGAGCATTTTTTCCTGTTTGTTGGCCTCATGTATGTCTTCTTTTGTAAAGTGTTTGTTCATATTCTTCGCCCGCTTTTGAATGGGCTTGTTTGTTATTTTCTTGTAAATCTGTTTTAGTTCTTTGTAAATGCTGGATATCAGCCCTTTGTCAGATGGGTAGACTGCAAAAATTCTGTTGGTTGCCGATTCACTATAATGACTGTTTTTTTTTTTTTTTTTTTTTTTTTTTTTT